GAGTACGCCTTGCGTACTCAGCATGTGGGCTTCATTTTTGGGCTTCTCAATTTTGGGCCCATGTTTGGACCTTACGAGATTAGGGTCTTGTTGGGCCATCAGGTTTCTATTTTTGGGCTGATGCTTCTTTTGGATGAAGGCCTACAAAGGTATTTGGGCCAACTTTGGATGATTGGGCCATAATTGGGCTTTGGGTGACCATTTTGGAATTGGGCCTTTTTGTGTAGATGGTTTGGACATTGACCTTGGTTCAAGTTAGGTAAAGGGTAAAATGATCTTTTACCCTAGTTTAGATTGATGGTTACAGATTGGAATCTAATTATTAATTCGATGTTATTGGTATTGATAACACGGGGATTGTCAGACCAGTAGTCATAGATTTATCTGAGTGTTTCAGCAGTTGGAGAGGAGTTTTCTCACCATATCCATGGGTCGAAGGCACCAATGTCAACCCATTTCTTGTTATGTGGAGTGCTTGTTGTCTTTGTTTTAATTTTAAGAAAGACCATGGGGATATCCCATGACACTTGTGTGTAAGACCGGGATTTGGCCCTTCGCATCGTAAGGAAAGACCATAGGGGTAGCCTATGGCACTTGTATATGTAAGACTGGGATTTGACATTCGACATTATGAAAAAAGACCATGGGGGTAGCCCATGACACTTGTATGTTTTATATATGTGGTATTTTGGGTAACTCATTAAGCTTCGTGCTTACGGTTTTGTAGTTATGGTTTCAGGTACTTTCGTTTCGGAAGGGAAGGGCGCTGCTTGATCGCAGTGCATTCAACCATGTTTCCACATTATGATGATTTTGGGATTGTACTCTGATAACTGTTTTCCTATAAAGAGATTTTGAATATTTAGAAAAAGGATAATGAATGTTTGGCGTAAAGATAATTAACGTCTTGGTTGAATTAAAATGAAATTTTTACCTCATAATTTTCGAGATGTTACACACCTACTATGCTACTCATAAATCTATATTTTTCATCCACAGCGGGACTAGATTTGGTTTCGGTTTTATAGGGGAACCGACCCCATATTAACTGAATTGACTATAACAAAAATAATATATAAATTATAACTTGAATTGATTAATATGATATATTATAAGTTGTATTTAGTTGGTTTTTATTTAGTTCGGTTTAAAATGTTTTCTTGATTTTATTGTAAATGATAAAATGTAAAGGTAGACATTAAAACTAGTTAAATGGTATACATGGTTTATTAATTTTAGAACTGATAAAAACAAGGGATAATGTTATAAAAACTCTTAAGTTTTTCAGGAATATACGGTTTTACCCTTTAATGGAATTTTGGTTCGTTTATGCCGCAGACTTGTAAAAAATATTCAGTTTTGCCACTTTTAGAGGTTAAGCAAGTAACTTGTATAGCTGGCGAGCCATGTGGACGATGAGTGGGACGGACTCGATGACGTGGCTCAATATTGCTTTACTCCTTCTTTATATAACTTACAAGGAAAATGGGATAAGGGAGTTTCGAAGCCATCACCTCGAACTCATAAAGCAAGGATCATACAACTATGTTGCATTGCTTTTTGTGTTCCATATTTCAAAATTTTAATATATATTGTATATTACTGAAATAATTTAAAATACAATAATGATAATAGTAATTATTATTATAATTATCATCATCATCATTATTATTATTGTTATTATTATTATTATTATTATTATCTTTTTTTATAGTATATTATTTTTAATTACATTTTCAAAGGTATAATTATATTTATAAAGATATAAAATACATTTTTAAAGATTAAAAAAACATTGTTAAAGGTTTATATATTTTTCAAAGCGTATGTACACCATTAAAAATATATTGTTTTATCGAAATTGTATTAATAGACTTAAAAACGTACATTTTTTAAAGCGTATTCATATTTTTAGATATATAAATATATGTTTATATATGTTTTATGATTTTGAAAGTATATAATATATTGCTACATATCTTTTAAACTTCCAAAAATGTAAAATTACATATTCGGTGTTTATACATATATTTTTTTTTCTATTTTCAATGTAAATATAGTTTTTTTTTGTATTATTAATACAAATAAGTATTTTCTATATTTTGAAAAAAAAAAATACAATTGGAAAGGTATTTATATATTAAAAAAAATTTCATTTTGAGTCTACAAATACATATTTCATAATAAAACTACGTTTTTGAAGATGTATATATGCTTTTAAGTGTATAAATACCTTTAAAAAAATATATATTTTAACCTTTAAAAACATATTATATATATATATATATATATATATATATATATATATATATATATATATATATATATATATATATATATATATATATATATATATACCTTTAAAAACGTAAATTAAGTTGTATATATACACTTATTTTTGGAAGTTTAAAATATATGTATTTATATATTTTATATTTTTAAAATCGTAAAAGATACATTTATATATTTAAAAGTACTTTTTAAGTATATAAATAAACTAAATTACGCTTTTTATACATACATACATACATATATATATATATATATATATATATATATATATATATATATATATATATATATATATATATATGCTTAAGTTATTTTGTACTTTTAAGTTATTGTGTGTCAGAATGCACAGATCTGGACAAACGGATGAAATTAATCAATGGACATGATTTGAGAGTGTATGATATTACAATTGACTAACATGTATCATATAATCAGACAATTTTTAGCAAAAGAGTATTTTGGACAATTAACTACATTTATCAAAGGAATTTTTCGGATTTTTAAGGATGATTAATTCTCCTAATTTACAAAAATCTGAAATTTTTAATTAATTCAATTTCACTTTATACCGATTTTATTCTATCAGAATATTTTTTGTTAGAATGATACTCTTTCAGAATTTTATTGTAATAGAATATTATTGAAGAAAAACAAGATTCTTGAACAAGATATTGAAAAATAACAAACATTCTAATATATTCTTATACATCCGAACTTAAATACAAATTCATACATATTCTTACAGACTAAAAGTCTTATACATTTTAAAACAATTATAAATATTCTTAAAGAATATCAACAAAAATGAATAACATTCTTAAAAAATAATAACATTCTGCTAGAATACTCTCGTTGTCCATGTTTTCTTCTTGAATTCTGAAAGAATATTGCTGTTTTTGGATGTTGAATCTCGATATGCTGAAAGAATATTGTTGTTTTTCTTCATTCTTTGAGAATGAAGTATCACATATCTTTTTTTTTTTCATAAGTTACCTCATCATTTCTGTATCATCCTAACATACATTAAATTCCAATAGAATATCTGAATCATGAATATTAGAAAGAAACACACGTTCCTGCTTACATCACCACAAAAAACACACACGAACTTTTAGTTTTTGCTTTTTTCTTATTATCTACAAAACTCAGAATTTTTTAGTTTTTTTTATATAATTTTACTCAATTCAAATGGTTTAGAAAAACAAAACAACTAAAGCCAGTATATGCAAAACAAGATTCTAACATAAATTGACTTTTATATTAAAAATCACTACAATAAAACATAGAAGAACAAGTATAAAAACAATTCCAAACCAATTACTGAATTAGACTTTTATAATCAAAGTATCTATTCAAAAGTCAAAGAGAAGAATTGATATTTCTCACTATCTGATTCTTTAAGAATGGGATAAACAATTAATGTATCAAAATTCCACGGATTTAGAAATGATCGTGTGTGTCTACGGATTTAGATTGGGGAATACATTATTGGATAGGAGGTTGATTATCAATAAGAGAAATCAAGATCAAGGTGCAGATAAAAAGAAAAACAAACCTGATGAACGACTCCCCCTCGAGGATCGTCCAACTTCTTAACCACATTGCTTCACTCTTCATGCTATTGTAATTCATACAGTTATCAATCATTAGTCTTAGTTGTCATTTTGTCTTCTCTCGGGCATAAACACAAACACATAGAGTGCACTTCAGTATGTGTTATTTATATCCATTATTTTAATAAAACCAAAACACAAATACAAATTAGAGTAGTATATGGCATCGTATATGCATTAACTAAGAACCAAAGACAGAAAATATAGATTAAAAAGAATCACATAAACATTAAATCAAACCTGTGGTCTTGTTGTTCAATAGTTGTCTTATGGTTCAGTATTGTCGGCTCAAAAACTCAAAATCAGATATGAAAAGAAAGACATAATCTTATTCTGACGACTTTAATCGAACATCTTTTAGGCATTCTATTTTAATCAATCTATTTTTTGCCACCATCTGTAAGCATGGAGGCATCAGGTGGATGGAAGGCGACGAACATGAAGATGAGGAAGAAGAGTAGTTGAATAGAGGATCTAGAAGTTGTTGTCATGATGGCGGATCAAAGGCCGACGGTGGTGCTCGGATGTATGAATTGATTTAAGGTACAGAGGTATCAATGATTTGAGGAAGCCTTCGATGGTTAGGGATGTTGGCTTTGTAGGGTTAAACTAATTAAGGAGAGATTAAATGACTTAATTTTCCATAATTAGATATAGTAAGTTTACAATTATACCATTTTTTAATTTATTTAATGATTTATTATTCCTGAATTCTCATTGGTGAATTTAGGCACACACTATTTGCTAGAAACATTTAAACCTAGCTCTCTCTCTCTCTCTCTCTATATATATATATATATATATATATATATATACACACACACACACAAACTTATAAAAAACAACAACAACAACAACAACAACAACAACAACAACAATAATAATAATAATAATAATAATAATAATAATAATAGTGATAATTAAAATTGTGTATGTAAATTTTTTTCATTAATATACATTATATTTAATGTTTTCGGATATGAAACGTAAAAAGCTTTCGAGTGGTGTGCACTTTGGTTTCTTATTTAGAGGTGGGAGGTTTGAATCCCCCTCCCCCCCACCCCTCATTGTCCCAAAAGTCTTCCAAGTTTTGTATTATAAAGCATAGTCAGCACGCACATGTGACTGACACGTCAACTTGATCAATCCATTGAGCGCACACGTGGCTCGCCCTGTAAATTCCTGAAAATCTTAGGGGTTGTTATGACATTATCCCAAAAAACAATGCAATATCATCGCTAAAGCACAATATACATTAACACACGTCAACACTTTTTATTATTAGGATTGGATATTTAATAGTAAAACATGCTAAAATCGTATTTACCGATTAATTTAGTTGAGAAAAAACAGATGGATTTTTTTTTTGGCATTTCTTTTTCAATAAATTCCAAATTTTATGGTTAATCAATAATAACCAATGACCACAACCGACTTAACCGAAGAAATTGTTAACCGAAACCATGAGAATTTATGGCAATTCAACAATTACATTTTAGTCTTTTCTTCAATAACATAAACCAAATCAACAAAATATAAATGTATATAAAGTAATCAAAACAAGATGCCGACTTACATCTTATTCTTACATGTGTATTAACTAAACTCAAAAACTATTCATATTGTTTTCACCTATCTTTTGCAATCAAACAACAATAAGGGTATGTTTGGTTGGATGGAATGAAATGATAAAGGAATGGAATGAACGAATGTAATGGAATGGACAATGTAATAGAATGTATCAGTACTATTTCGATTGTCATGTTCGGTTAGTCTCCTTGAATGGAATGCATCATTCATTTGGTAGGTACAAATGAACAAATGAATAGAATGAAATTAACTGATAATTACAAAAGTGCCTTCTAAATCACTATACATATGATTTGTAGTTAAGGTAACATTCTATATAATCAAAATAACAATCATTTATCAAAACATGAAAAATGCAAAAACTAAAAAAGAACTATGCAGGTATCGTCCAAGCATGGATGTCTTTAGTTAGAACCAAATATTAATACAATTTAATTTCTCTATATATTTATAAGCTTATGACATATTTATAAGCAACGTCATAAGCATTTCAATGAAAAAAATTATTGAAACATTTCATCAGAAAGTTCATGTGCATGTTTAACAACAAAGATGTTTAAACAATAAATAATATGCTTATAAACAATTTTGGATTTTGGAACTAACAAAGACAAATAAAAATGAAGAAGTAAGCAATATATAAATATAACATAAGCGATGAAGCGAATGCTCTTTATATTGTCAAGAGCGATTCTTGTAAAATAATTTTTCCTACTGCTCCTGCTCAAAATTTGTAGAAAGTTTCTTGATTTTCTAGATGCAGTGGATAATGATTCTGCTTTCAATGGGGTTTTCTTTGATTTGTCAAAAATCAATTATCGCGAGAACTAATTAGAAAGATACGATTGAGGTAGGCCGGGTATATTTGTCATTTCTTTTCACATGCGGGAAAGGAAGGAAAGAAAAGTAAGGTACCCCCAAGGAATGAAAAAGGCGTGTTCCTAAGGAATCCCATTCTCTTTGTAATGAAACATTCATTTCCTTTTGATAACCAAACAATGCATTTTAAATAGTAATTGAATGGTTCATTCCATTCCTCCTTTTATTCCACCATACCAAACATGGTCTAAAGAAAAAAAAAAAAAGAAAAGAAGAAAAAAGAAGAAAGAAACATGAACATAAATAGGCACCAAATGCGACAATGAGCAAACCATCTTAATTCTTATGGAAAATTAGGATATAACTCATTGAGTTTCATGTGATTAATTTAGAAATGCAACCTCTCTTTCACAAGCAGTTTCACGTGAAGGATGAGATCTTGAAGATTCCCCCTTACCCTATGAGTAAAGGAAAAGTTAGAAAATTATAAAATTACATAAGTATACACATATATGATGATTACATATTTGATTGTGTATGCCTTTTTATTCTGTGATATTAGAAAGGTTTGGGTGAGAAAAAGTATACCACATGTGTGCTACCAATTAGGTCAGGATTCCTTTGAGAAAAAGCTCTAAACCAGGACACTTCCTTATGTCCTGAACACAAGTTGTATTAAAAGCATAAATATATTTATTTATGTGAACCAACATATCAAAGACATAGTCAACTCACATAACAAATCGACCCATTTAGACAAGATCAATACTTGGTTCGATTCATTTAAAAATTAACAATCAAATTTTAATTTTTGAATTTTATGAAAACAAAATCTTATCTTATAGGTCAATAAATCAATAATAAATGGGTGGATTAGGGTCCTATTATTCAATATTTTAAATATTTAAGTTATGATCCATCTATTAAGAAAAATGGGTCATTATCCAATATCTTAAAGAAATTGGGTCATGGATGTGATCATTATACATAAGACATTATTATATATATTTAACAAAAATGACATCTAACTTGAACGTCGTGGTTGTGTGTAACAAATTTAATATGATATGGAGAGAAGATAATATCTCATTGAAAATATTTAACAAAAATCACATATACCTTGATATCTGGGGCCATCTGGAATTAATTTACCAAGATATGGAAACAAATAAATGGCAAACTCAAAAAACCGCCTGTTCTGTAGGATGTATTGTCCTGTAGTTGTTTGAAACTGAGAGAGATCTCCACCAATTATATGATTCCATGACTTGTAATAACCCAATGCATCTTCTTCTTCTTCTTCTTCTTCTTCATCCTCATACACAAGACTCACCCCACACTCCTTTACAAGTTCATCATATGGCGCTGTAACAGTAATAGTAACATGGTCACCCGCCTCCATCTCATTCATCCGAAACATCCAATGACTTAACATCACCCAACACTTTCCATCTACAATAACTCCATCCAAGTGACGTTCGTATATCCATGTGTGGTTCTTTGTTATATTATGAATTGTCGTAATTGGCGTACTAGGGAACATATCATGTACTACGGAACTGATCATTGGCGTACTAGGGAACTGATCATGTGGAAATAATAACGACTCATCAGGAGGTTTCAATGTGTGCAAATAGCAGAAGTTGAGTCCAGTAAGGTTGTTTGGAGATGATGATGATGATGATGGGATGGTAAATGATATTGATGGCCCCAAGCTTCTATACTTAAACCATCTCGGCATCTCCTCCACCTCATACTTTGTGCTGAATATTCCAAATTCATAAAACATTCTCTGAAAAATACAACCACCTTAATTAAATACAAACATAACAAATATATTATACATATTAACATAAAGACAGATAGTTAATCGAACAAAACCTGGACTTTTGATTCCGAAGGATTGGTTCCCACACACCCTTTGTTAAGGAAGTCTTCATTAATCCAACCCAAGCTCCGTAATACCTTTTCCTCAACACTTACCATTGCTTGGATTTTGATCATGCCTTCAATTTCACAGGACCCAGGTGTGAAATCTAACCACCAGTTTGATGTTACCTCTAGTGGGGACATTTCTGGATCAAATTCAACTTTCCTTACAAAACTCCCAAGACGAGAAAAGAGCAACAACCTGCTTAGTGTACGCGGAGGATGCTTAACTGATTTCAATTTTTTACAATTGGCCATACTAAGTATCTCAAGCCTAGGAATGGTTCTCATACAACTGGGCATGGAATTTATAGGATTGTAATCCAAATATAATTCCTTTAACATGGACAGGCAACTAAAATTCATGGGAAAGCAGTCTGTGGACAAATTATTATTTACCAGTGACAACCTGACTAAAGACCTCGGTAAAGAAATTGTAAACAACTTAAAATCACTTGCTATAGCACCCATAAAGGAGGAGGAAGAGGTTCGTATGTTTATGACCATATCCCTATCCTCGGTTTGAGAATCACTGAGATTACAACCATCGAGCAACAATGTTTTAACATTCTTCAACATGCCTATGTTTCTTGGAAGTTTTTCAAGCTTCTTGCAGTTGCTCAGATCAATGAAGACAAGTTCAACACATTTCTCAATTGATTCACCAACCTCAACCAAACCAATGCAATTTCTGACTATTAACCTCTCGAGTGCAGGGAATTGGTCAAAGTCACCAAGACTATGCAGTTGTTTACAGAAACTTAAATTAAGAATCTTCAATGATCCGAGCAGCTTGTTGTCTTTTAAATACGATCCATCCAACTGCAAAAAGCAAAAATAAATTAGAACAGATTTCAATTATCATCAACTGAACATTGATGAATAATGAATGAAGATAAGTTACCTTTTGCCTCTTCTCAAGTCGATGTGTATTGCTATAATAGCCAACAAATGATTCAATATAGCTATATGACATATCAAGAGCAACCAAATTCATCATCGGTAGCTCTAAAGGTATACACTTTAAACGAAAACCATGCATACACAAGCCTCTTAATTCATTTGGAAAGTTCTCATAAGACCCATTCATGTGCACATAATTCATTTGTAGTAGCATCAGACTATCCATGTTACTCAAAGCATCTGTTTTTAGATCAAATGGTGCTCCCAAATTCTCTTTCTCAAGCATGCGCATGTCAAGGGAAAGGCCTAGAACATTTCTCTTACCCTAAGAACAAACGAATGGCCAAAAACAAAAATGAGATAATACAAAGTAATTTGAATATGCACAATACCAACAAGTATACATAAACTCTCACCTTTTTTTGTTTCAACACTCTGAATGACTCATTATGACACCATATTCTACTTCGCTTCCATGGCTTGTCAAATGATTCTTGATGTACTTCGAATCTTCCCATCTCTTGAACCAACTGATGCATCTTCAATTCATTATTCAATCCTATACTAAGAAGATATCTATCAATGAGATTCATGATTCCAGATCTTGTGATTATATCACATGCCATTAATATTGTTTCACTAACATCTCTATCTATTCCGACAAAAAAACAAGCTATATGCTTAAACAACTCCTTATCATTGTTGGATGGCAAAGAATCAAAGCTCATTCTCAATACATTATTTACATGGGAACTTGTTTTTTTATTTAGTCCTTCTAAGCACCCTTTCCAGTAAGCTACATCTCGGTTATATAGAGATTTTCCCAAAACTGCAAGAGACAATGGATGTCCTTGACAATATTTCACAAGCTTATATGACATCTCTTCATAACCTTCCTTGGGATAGTTGCACATGAATGCATGCAAACACAAAAGTTGTTGTGATTGGATCTCATCTAAGCCAAAAAGCAAAAGTCTTTCATTCTTCGGTTTAATGTTTGTTTTGAATAGTGCACAACTCTCAGTCAACCATCTGTTTCTTGTTGTGATTATAATTTTGCTTCCACGATGAAAACCTTTGCTTCCAAGTAATGCATCCAACTGATCAAGAGTGGTGATATCATCAAGGACTAGAAAGACCCTTTTACAGGCAAGTGCATGCTCTATCTGTGTGGTGTATATTGCCATATCATGAACTCTAATTGCACTTGTTTTTGAAATGTCATTGCAGAGTTGATTTTGTAAATCAAGCAACCCATTAAACTTTCCATCACATTTCCTTGCGATATCTTCAATAAAGCTACTTGTTTGGAATTCATGAGAATATAACCCATATACATGTTTGGCTAAAGATGTCTTCCCGATCCCACCGATACCTAAAATAGTGAGTATGTCTGCAGTATGTGAGGACCTATCATTCAACCAGGAAGTAACAAAGTGGATATGATATTCCATCCCAATGAGTAATGGCTGAGAAATCCTTAAGGGTACATGTAATCTACGGTGGATGTACTTCACGATTTCTTCAATGAACATTGTGTCTAGCCTGAAGTTTAACAAACAGGATTTGGAGATTTTAATTTATCCAAAGAGCAAATCTAACATGTACCATACTATTGTTATGAATTAAGTTCTTCACATCAAAACCATATTGTATTTACACTTCTAACCATATAATCATCTAATGTATAAGGTCATAATATTTATGTATGATAAGACCTAAGCTACCATTGTGTTACAATATTTCACATATTGGCCACCTAACTTCACTATGTGTCTACAAGGCCATCAAACTTAACTAGCAACGTGGCTAGAAAAAAAATGCCAGGTTATCATCTACGACTAATAGGTAAGAGAAGTTCTTGTTATTTGCTATAGAAAATGCAAATATAGTCCCTTTGTTTTGTTGTTTTCTTTGGATTGGGTCCAAAATGTTTCATTTTTTCATTAAACGTCCTTTTCCAAGGGTTATGTTGTGGTTTTGATCCCTCGCTTTGATACAATGAGTGTTAGTCCATTAAATCCTTGTGAAATGACTACTTTGACCTTTCATATTAAATTTTATTTATTTAATTATTATTATTATTATTATTATTATTATTATTATTATTATTATTATTATTATTATTATTATATAAATAAGGGAAGTTGTTGTACAATTTGTTATTCCAAAAACCTCCTCCCTTATTCTAAAACTTTTATTTGAATATCACAATTCAACCTTTACCTAAGATGTTCATACATGGAAAGCCAAAAATGTGGGCAGAGTGGCTTCTTTAGGCAGAGTTATAACACATCTTCTCGAATATGATTTTTAATAACAAGCATATTGAAATAAATGGGACTGTTTATATAAATCAACCAACTTAAGATCACATAACAAGAGTAGATTCAATTTTGTGCATCTTCTTTTTCCTAATACATGAAATGAATAACTATTTGATGATACTGAGAAAACTTATTGAAATTCATTGGGAGAAGATGATATTGACATTTTACGCCTTACTCCAACAAAATTGAAGGCTTATGAGAAATATGAGTAAGAATGTGATTACCTTCCTTTTATGTCCTTTCCTTTTAAATTAGAAACTTCTGTAAGTGCTTTATTCCATCGGTCTATTTTTTGAGCCCATTGACTTCTTTTATTTGCATTTGTCTCTGCGTCCATCGTCTGTTTATGCTTAGCCATTGCATTTCCGAAGCTACTTTGCTGCTTCCTGACATGTGTGGGCTCTACATGATAAAATATAGGGATAACAATATGGTTGGATGTCATACGCTGCTCAAGGATCAACACCAATTCATCCAGACACCATGTTGAAGTAGCATAATTCTCGGACAACACGATAATAGAAGCCCGAGATGCCTTAATTGCACTCTCCAATTCTGGTTTCAGATCTTCCCCTGTTTCAATCTCTTCATCATCCAAGAAGGTAGTGATATTGGCCTCTATAAGTGCATCGTGAAGGTAATTGGTGAAACTAAGACGAGTGTCAAGACCTCTAAAACTTAAAAATATGTCATATCTATGACCATCAATTGATGAAATATGGTCATGAGTTGATGAACTCTGAACATGAGTTGATGAAGAACATGAAGATCCTTCTGAGAGGAGTTCAAAGAGAACAACCATTATGATTTTTGGGTTGATGAAGAAGAAGATGAAGATCCCAGGATTTTGTGTATCTGTTCAATGTCAGGATCACTACATAATGCCTGTACAAAAAAATTATTAATAGTTAAAATATGCAACTTAAATCTCATCAAATAATTTACACCTCAATAATAACAATACCATTTAATTCTTCAAAATAGAACTTTAAGTGACTAAAATACACTACATATGCACCTCCGAGTTTCGAGTTGGCTTTGGAGCTATATACTGCATAATGTGTATATGTGTGTTTAAAGATATTGATTTTTGTGTTTAAAGGATATTCTATAGCTTAATTAGTGCTAAACGTGATTGCTTTGTGTACAGTCTCATGGTAGTAATAATTATGTGATAGGTTTTTGAATCCTTTTGCCAACACATATATAGCTAAGTATTGATGTAGAATAACTTTCCCAGAGTAAAAGTATTGATATAGAATAACCATTACATTGCCATGAAATTTATTTTAAAAGCTGTTACTCACTTAATTCAATTGGTTAACCTTTTTATATGGCTAAGTTGGGGGTTCAAGAAAATAACAAACCAATTTATTCATTTAACCTACAACGCCACAACGCCTCTGTTTTCATTTTATAAACCCACATAAACATCCCTATTGTTGTCAAAGTAAAATACATTTGAATTTCTGTAAAGTAAGCCTCAAACAAATCAACACCAAATACCATTCTCGAAACAGCTATAAAAGATCCACTATTATCTCCCATGAAAGAAATTGCAAAAGCATATATGATATTTCAAGCTTTTACAAGATAACAACAAACAACTGAATCTAACAAAAACAAGGATTAAATTTCTTGACATGGTTGTTTATGGATCTCGAAACAATCTTCTCAAATTAAGTTCGTATAGCACTGGATCTAGTATCAGCAGACATCTTATCTCAAATTAAGTTCATAATATGTTTCTGAAACTAACAAGCCATCCCCTTTCAAAGGGTTCAACTTCAAACTCTATACTAGATGAATGTTCAAAAGATACATGCACTCTGTAGTCTAGACACAAACATATAGATATCGTTAAGTTTTTACTTCAATTGTAAGCAAGACACACATAATGATAATGAAATATTGAAGCTTGTTCATTATGAGCGCCTAGCTTACCATTAAGGAGCCGATAGCATCATTCAAAGGGTACGGAATATAAAAATCGTGTTATGAAATAGAAAACATTAAGGAAGTCAGGAAGCAATTTAAAAGGATTGAAGAATTTCCCTACGAGCAACAAAAGTAATTGAAATGGACAAAAATCAATCACATGTTAATGAAATAAACAGGTGATTATGATCTGATTTATCATTAATAAGATGAAATTGTCTAAGCACATGTGAAACTCACTTGTAAGAATGCGCTCTCATAATTACCTGCCTACAGGAGGACAAGAAGAGAAGCAGCGATGATAGAGGATGATGAACCAGCAGTAACGAGGCTGAGAAAGATGATGGCTGAAAGCCACAGACCGAACCTCATTAAGTTGGCAAGGAGACGGCCAAATAACGAAGAAGAAAGGGAGACGACAAGAGAATCAACGAGGATGTGATGGCTTTCTTTTGCCGCCTCAGTGTTGATTCTTTTTTTTTTTTTCCCTTTTCGACTTAATATATCTATTAGTACAACGATAATTCCTGGAAAGTAATACTACAAAAATAAAAAAAGTATACACCCTATTTTCTAACTTATCTCAATATTCCTTTTTAGTGATTTGCCATTCAGTTTTAAAAGATATCTTAAACTTTAACTTTTCAAAAGTAACAATCAGGTTATTGTCAAGAAATACACCCCAATTTGGAGTTACTAGTGGTTTGGTTTGGTTTTGATTTTATAATATATATATATATATATATATATATATATATATATATATATATATATATATATATATGGAGTTATAAGTTTAGGTTCATTTGAAACCATTCTACTTTTGTGAGATAGTAAGACAAAATGTAAAAATAATTTTAAAATGCAAAATAAATGGAAAAATCCAAAAATTCTTTTTTTAAATATTATTTCGGAACTTCAATTAACTAAAAAAAATCCCGTTTTTTTTTTTAAAATATGTGAAATATTTTAATAGAATATTACAATGACATATTCTAAAACATAATTTTAAAATGCAAAATAAATGAAAAAATCTAAATTTTTTTTAAATATTATTTTCGGAACTTGAATTAACTAAAAAAATAAAAAAAATAAAAAAATCCCATTTTTTTTTTGAAAAATACGTGAAATATTCTAATAGAATATTACACTGTATATATTATAAAAAATAATTTTAAAATGCAAAATAAATGGAAAAATTCAAAATTTCTTTTTTTAAATATTATTTTCGGAACTTGAATTAACTAAAAAATAAAAAAAATAAAAAAAAGTAAAAAAATGCGTCTCACGGTCTCATAAAATATAGATGGTCTCAAATGAACTTAACCCTATATATATATATATATATATATATATATATATATATATATATATATATATATATATATATATATATATATATATATATATTATAACTTGAATTGATTAATATGACAAACTGTAAACGTTGGCACTAAAACTAGTTAAATGGTATAAATGGTTTATTAACTTAAGGAACGTTGTAAAAACAATGCTGTATCATCGTCAAAGTATAATACACATTAGCACACTTCAATAGTTTTTATTTTTATGTAAATTCCAACTTTTATGGTTAATCAATAATAACCAATAACCACAACCAACTTTACCAAAAAAATGTTAACCAAAACCATTTTTAACCGTCTTATACACACCCCAAGTGTGTGGTGTTCTTAGCCTACTTGGCATGTATGTTGGAACTCAATGGCTGATATAGCACTGGATACATGGAGTTTTCAACGTTTCTATTAAGAAAAGAAGGAACAAAAGATGGTGGTTTCCCTGAGTTGACATGCATATGTGGTGTTCTTATGACATGTATACTAGGATTCAATAGCTGATGTGGCACGTCATAAGTGGAGTTTTCAGCATTTCTATTAAAAAAGAAGAAAAGAAGGAACAAAATGTAGTGGTTGTCCTTTAGTTGACATGCATATGTGGTGTTCTTAGCTGACTTTGTCTATATACTTGGATTCAATGGCTGGATGTGGCAGTCATACATGATTTATAGGGAGAGCCGAGGTTAGCCTTTGGCATTATGTATGAAAGACCATGAGGTGGCTCCTGGCAAACCGTATGAAAGACCAGAGTCTGAACTCTGACAATTATTAGTTAAGTAGCTATAGACTGTATGCTAGTTGTCTTTGTGATGCTCATATGGAAGACCTAGAGGTGGCTCCTGGTACATGTCTGTAAGACCCAGGGTTGTGGCCCCGAGACTGGCAAGAAAGACCACGAGGTGGCTCATGGCATAATGGCAAGAATATGTGTGGCACATAACACCTTTATTGATTATCATATATGAATGATATGTATGGCTGACGGTTAGGCATGAATTATATAGATCATTGGATATGTACTGTATGTGGTATTTGGGGAACTCACTAAGTTTTGTGCTTACGCTTTTTAGTTTTTATTTCAGGTATTCTGGTTTTCGAATGATAGAGCTCTGGATGATCGCATCGCATACACCCGTGTTTTCCGCATTATGTGATCTTTGGGATTAGACTCTGATATTTTGTTTATTTGAAATGTTTTTCAATGTCCTGATCAAAGTTACAATAGTGTTCTGGTTATAATAAAAATGAAATTTTTATCCTTGATTTTTGGGTCGTTACAAGTTGGTATCAGAGCCTTGGTTTGAGGGATTTGTACATACTCTCAGCTGTGCCTGAACTCAAACTGAGGGTTTGGTGAAAAAATTTGTAATTAAACATTTAATTAAAAAGGAATTTCTAACCATGAAAGAGGTGTGACACGTGCAATCGGCCGAGCTCAAGTAAGTGGTTCCCAAAGTACCAATACATGTTATTATGTGATATGATATGATTATGTGAATCACATGTTAGATTAGGGCTAAGGATCTGTTCAATATTATATGATAGGATAGATGCCTTTTATGTGTCTGATTGTATAAGCTTTAGTAATGCATGCTAGTTTGTATATCTGATAAGTAGATGTACTTGCTTGTTTAGAGTATGTTGGTTAGATTTTCCGTTGCATGAATGCTGCTTGATTTGCGCTTTGTGGGGCTCCTAGAAATGTGAGTTAGCTACTAAGTGAATATGCTAAGTCGCATGTAGCATAAGCTGCATAATCTCAGAGTGATGGACTTGGCCCTATTTGCGTAGCTCTTATATATGTCCAACCGTTCTAGGATTGAGTCTTTTACTTGAAGGATTATTTGATATCTGTTGCATGTGACTATATTCATGAGGTAGCTAGTTGACATTAACGGGAATCCTTCAGCAGCTTAGGGCAGGGTAAGGTCGGGAACCTAGAAAAGGCTAGGATTTGCTTTAGTGGTTTAGTAGTGCAGTTTAGTGAGTTTTGGGTGTATTAATTTGAGGAAGTGACTTAGAGGATTCAGGAGGATTGTTGAGCAAAGTATGGATAGGTTTGGAAGGGAGTATTGAACCCGTACTACTAAAAACACAGGATTCATACTTGAATCGGTGAGAGTCTCAGAGAATCTAAGAAGCTGATGGGAGGAGGATTCTTAGGTATGATATCATTCTTGGCTTGTTGTATTTCAGTTTGGAGATGAGCTCTTAAGGAGGTGGTTCACGATTGGGTTCTAGTTCTGGTTCTGGCTCGGGTGCGAGTGCTGAGTTGATTAGTGAGCAATTGTGGGTGTTCATTTCATCTGAGATTTTTCGTTGTGTTTTGGAGATATTGGATGAGCGTTTGGACGCGTTCCATGCGAAGGTTATCGCTATCATTAGAGCTCGCACTCTGTCTTTCCAGGAGTTCCATGCTTGTGGAGCTCCTACTTTCCATGAGGAGAGAAACCCAATTTTCAGTAGGAGGTGGTTATCTTAAACTTTAACTTTTTAGTGACTTGCCATTTAATTTTAAAAGATATCATAAACTTTAACTTTTCAAAATTAACAATCAGGTTATTGTCAAGAAATACACCCCAATTTGGACTTATCTAGTGGTTTGGTTTTGGTTTTATAGGAAAACTGATCATATACTTCCCGCACCGACTATAACATAAATATTATATATAATATGACTATAACCTAAATAATATATATAATATATAAATTATAAATTATAACTTATAACTTGAATTGATTAATATGACAAAATGTAAAGGTTGGCACTAAAACTGGTTAAATGGTATAAACGGTTTATTAACTTCAGAAACATTGAAAAAAAACAATGTTGTATCATCGCCAAAGTACAACACACATTAGCACACGTCAACACTTTTTATTTTTAGGGTTGGATATTTAGTAGTAAAAAGGGCTAAAATTGCATTTTCTATTTAAATGTTAGTTGTAAAATAGAAACGTGGTTTTCAATTTGTAGTATTTTGTTGTCTAGATAAATGATATTTAAAAAATTTAGTTATCATCATACAACGAGTGAGATGGAAAACAGGCAACAATCTGCATTGCTAAACCTTTTTGTATGGTAAAACCAATTCTTTTGAAAACTACATTTATACATCTAGGGGATGTAACATTGTTATGTAAATCCTTTGTACTCTATTAAGAAGCTCCACCACATCCGGCGTGGGGAAGCCAAACGTATCAAATGAAAATCGTATGGACACATGTTGATTTTCTATGCACGATTTCACATGTTTGGTGACCTTGTCTGCAATAGTTTTTAAAGCATTTTGACCCCTCATGAAACCCCCAACCCTCAAGCCTAAGAGAGGGGATACCTATGTAAGGTCCACACGTGCGTGTTTCCCTCCAAACCATCCAAAAATCAAAACGTCAACGGGTCTAAACGATGACCTTCCTTCTACTGGTCCAGTCAAGAAATTCACAAGTGCCTCTTTATTGGCGGAAACCCTGACATGCTTAAATATGTCAAATAAAACATCCCTAACTATATCGTGTATGTATTTGAACCCCAAGAGTTCTTTACAATGAATTGCATGATCTCCAAAAGAGTCCAAACATGCCTTGCGGCACACCGGACATATCTCGTCAACCGGGAATATTAGGATCATGAGTTGGTATTTGAGGATAGTACGATACTCCACATGAGAAATATGTTAGCCAAGCCTATCTATAGGGATAACTAGAAGAAAATCATGAGCATGTGGTGCACCTAAACTCTAGAAAACTATTTTCTGCTAAGCTATCATGTCGAGATGCCCTTCCATATCTTAGACAATTTTACTAAAAAGGGCACTCGTAGTGTATTCTGGGATTTAGGGGGTAGTGTCCTTAGAAGTAAAATTGTTAAGGTCAATTTTCGGAAGCTTATTACAAAGAGAATTCAAGACACAAGCATAATCAGAATTCATATTATGTATGTCGTTATCCTATAAGATGTGGTCTTGCATTACCTAAGATTGGACCCTTGAGGCACCAAAAGAATATGAGGTACCATCTACTACCGAGTATCAACCCAAACCACCAAACCTAATAGGTAAGGAAGCATGTCGCCATTGTATGTCACGAAAGAAAGGGACACCACAACCGATAATGTCCTCAATCGCCTTGCGTAACCCATTGTCAAAGAGCAACACCTTCTCCTCCATGTGAACAGGTTGACACATCCTCAACCCAAATAAAAGTTTATCCATACCCATACAAGACCAAAGTAGAAGGAGCTCACTCGGGGGGTCAGACAATTGTTGAAGAAAGAGCATTAAATTTATAGCTCCTTCGGCTCTCTTTATGGCTAAGCTGCTAAGGAAACCAACATTGCTACTAACAACGCCCCAAGAAGTTTCACCCCTAATGGCAGTCTCCTGATGCGAATTGGGAAAAGCCCCTTACACAAATTTCTACCATCACACAAGGGCCAAAAGAGCTCAGTTTTCTTGATATTCAAATGAAGGCCCAATTTTGGGCCAATCACTTTAATGATGTCCAACACTTTGGCCACCTCCTCCAGATCTCCACTAAGTGTGCCATCATCAAGGTACCATGCCTGAAAAAGAAGCAGGTGCTACACAAGGACAAAGAGAAATGGTCACAAGGGGTCTCCTTGCTAAACCCCAGTAGTAGACAAAATATAAGTGTCTCCTAGATACATCCTTGTTGCTTCAACATATAGAAATTCTACCACAAGAATATAGAATGGCACCTCAATCTGACATCATGAAGTAATACAGATATGTCGAGAAGGTTAAAGGCATTGGAGAAGTCCACGGTAAGCATGGAGAGAGACCCGTCGTCGTGGCGCTCTCTAAACACCCTGTATGCGCTATGTAATACGAACTTTGTGCCACCTGACCCCACGACCCCGAACTGAATATCATTGAGATACTTAGCCATTTCTTTACCCACACCTTTTATAGCTATCTTGGAAACCAAACATCTCCACATAGTACCTACCGCAATAGGTTGTACTCCCTTGTCGAGTTTTAAGAGCGGTGTAAGCGGGGAAGAGGAAAATCTTTTTTGCCAAACTCGATGGGCATCTTCCCCTTAGCCACAAATTAACCACAGTTGTAATAGAACAAAAGAGGTCTTTAACTGTAGCTGAAACTTCTCCACAAACAGAATCCAAAATGTGTTAAGCTCTCAACTCGTCTCTCCCATATGAGGTACCTTTAATGAAGGATTTAATGCCCCTAAGGAAATTATCAACATCCACTACAAGGGGAGGTTTTAAAAAATGGTGCTCGGTATGGTAGGTGGTGGCTTGTATTGATGATTATCCTACAAAGCCTTCATTGTATCACCTCCAAATTGAGCAACCCCCAATGAACATAAAACTATCATTAATTTCGTAAGATGTTCATCGACAACCTTACAAAACATTGTCTGACGTTAGTGTTTCCCAATGTTCTTTCCTCCTGAACGTACTCATCTTTTTTGC